TAATTTAAAATTTGTTTCGAATACACTTCAGTAATTTTATTATTATGAATCAATATTAAGTTTTTGAATAAATTTTACCTTAAAGCATGGAATCATATTTAAACATCTAATGACTACTCTAAAATGTTTTATATCATAAATTGATGAAAACTAAAATAAAACAATGCCTCGAAGCTATAACTATCCAACACGAGCCACGAATTCAGCATCAAATTCAAACCCATATTCCACCGGTGGTCTAACATTTGTCAAACTGCGAGGTGTATAGCTACAAATCATTTATTACAAATACATGTATCTTTCGAACTCTAACGGGGTAGTCATCGACAGATAACGCTATACACGTTACATAATTTGTTCAGCTCTAAAACTTAAGTATACCGGCATACATTAGGTTCTAATTTAACGAGCTTACGCGTTAAATTAGAACCTAATGTATGCCGGTGATTTATGCGCGATAAATTCGACAAATGCGATAAATTTCAAAACTAAAAATCAATTGTGTATGCTTTAGAACTCGAATCTTTACAGCTTAGTAACAACATGTTTAACCATGTCAATTAGATTTCTCAACAGTTTATGAACTTTGGTTTTTCTGCATTAGCCTTGTTCACGGGTCAACTGTCGAAATCTTAACTTAATTCTGTTAATAAAAAGATTAGTCACAAAAATGTATACCTAAGTCATTGTTACAAGATTGGGCACAAGGATTTTAACAGACTAAGATTGATATAATTTAACCCATTTGAACTCGAACAAGTTCAATTGTAACAGGCACTCATAATTTAGTTTACGACAACTACTTCTCAAATACTTTAATAAATCTCCAAATACAATGATTGTCTTATGGGCTCAAGGTTTCAATAGTGAACTAAAGAGCTTTGATAAAGTGTGAAAAACATTGCTCAAAACAAGGTTTTTGGACAAACATAATCTGCAGTATGTAAAAATATTGTTTTAAATTACACGTACACTCTACAACACATTAGATCGAATGCAATTTTTACATTTTTTGTGTTTAATATATTGTTTTTTATCCAATATTATTATTATTACTATTTTATTTTTGATTCGCATCTATGTTCTCAGTAGGGTTTCAAAATTTTTTACGACTCAATATCATAATTTCAGAGTTAAGGTCTCAAATTCGTATTGGTCACAAATCTTTTTTTTTCGCTTGAAGGCAAACGGGGTCATAAGCTATACGTTTGCTTTATGTTTTACTTTCATTTTTTTTGCACCCACTTATTTTGTATAAAGACGCATTGGAATGTTCCGTTGCAATATCTGTGTTTTAAATACTTATGTAATGAAACCATTTATGGACAGACTTAAACGCTGACCTCATATTACATAAAATGCCTAGCCTGTTACATTACTTACAAAATATAATATAAGTTTGTTCGTATGTATGTTACCTTGCTGTACGGTATACCATTTACTTTGTAGTAAAAAGGTAATAATATATGCATCTAATGTAAGTGAAAACGAAGGCTTCGGAATCTTTTTAATCGGGAATCGGGATCATTTTTATGTCGGAAACACTAGGCTGATTTTTAATACCTTTTAAATTTTACTGTACACATCATATTATTGTTACTAATAGAATACAATGTAAGAGTGAACAATCCTACATTTTTTTATGTGAAAAAGTGGCAAACGAGCTGAAGGTTCACCTGATGTTACTTACCTAATAATTACCGCCACCCATGGACATTTGCAACACCCGTAGGGTTGCAAGTGCGTTGCCACCTTTAAATAAAGGCCCCGGCTACCTCACTCGCCAGACGAAACGCAGAAGTGTAACACTTCTCCTTAACACCGGTCTTCTGTAAGGTCGTGGTACTTACCCGGACGGACCTGCCCTTAATTTTGCCAGCAATTCTTTCTTTTTAGCAGTTCATCTAATGAAGTTTAACTCTTCTCGATCAACATGCTTTTGTTTATCCGCTACACAATTGTAAAGAAACTAAATTACGAAATGAGCCCACTGCTTACCCACTTAACGGTGCATTTGAGCTGACCTTCGCTAGTGCAACCGCCTACCTCTCTCTCAACAATAAGATTAGTCTACCATTTAATAGACCACAGATCTACACATTTTACTATTGCTTAATTGTAATTATAGTTTTTCATGTGGAAAATGATGGATCAAGTCAAAAGTATCAAGATTCAAATTATCCATTTAGCGTTATTTCAAGTTACGCTCTTATACTCATTAGCTAGCTTGAACGATTATAATCAATAAAATGTTCGTGATAACTTTAAATTTTTGCCCTATTGTTATCACTTTTTTTAATATTATTGTAATATATAATTATTCAAAAATGATGTACGATAGATAAACGTGTACTCACAATGTTCACAATATAAATGGTAAATATTGTAGTTTATAAAAAAAGTAAAGTAGTTTACAAATGAATTAATTATTAATTATAATTGAATATAATTGAAAGACACTACTAATTTATATCTGGTTCTCTCTAAAAGGAAAATGAGCGTATTATTTAAAAATAATCATGATATTATAATCGCACATTATAAGTACCGTACTTATAATATTTTATAATTTAATGAATAAGAAATCGAAACACAGTTAAGTAACCTGTAACGAGGTCTCTGCAATTTTATTACAAAGATGTAGAAAAATAAGTGAAAATGTTTACGAAATTTAACCTAAACCAGCGAATGGACAAAATAGTAAGGCTGAGTATCGAAACATACGCATGATTTTTTTATATAATTCTTAAAACAATTGTGATCGTATAATTAAGAACGAATTGAAGTTTTACATTTTTTGAATCTAAATCGTGTCATGTGTAATTATGTAGCCACATGAATAAAGCAAACGGGATTAGGAATAATAGAATAAAATGGTCAGCTATTTTTTGTTAATATTATTTATTATCTATAGTAACAAATTCAAAGAGTAATGAGGCTGGACAAATAATTAAGGAAGATTTATTAAACTGCTCAAAGAGTTGTTTTATATTACACTTAGATAAAATAATCTAAGTGACTTCGCGAAATTAAAAAAGCAATTTAATACATTTTAAACTAAAATTAATAGATAGTAGCATGTCCACGGCCTTGAGCTCAGTGTCCGGGCGCTCGCCTTTAATTTAATATACTCGAGCAACCCGGTGCCGGCACCAATTGTTTATTTTAAGTGCCGAATTATCACATGCTTAGCGGTGAAGAAAAACATCGTGAGGAAACCTGCATATTTTCGAAGAAATAATAAAAAAAAATATTTCGAAGATATGTGAAGTCCGCCAATCCGCTGTGGGGCCGCGTGGTGGACTATGCCCTGATACCCTCTGTACAGAGTAGGCCTCACAGAGTACATGATATATACTGATATGAGAGTACATTATATATACTGGTAGGCCTTTGCCCAGCAGTGTCAGTGTTCACTTTGCTTGGCTTTAATTACTACCAGTGAAGCATTGAATCTAACAATTTTTGACATTTTACAATTTCGTACGAAGATTGCTGAAGGGATGTCTCTTCACCAAAATGTTATTTTCTCGGCCTTCAAAATACCCTTCTAAAGAATATTTCGATCGTCTTAACGAGATGAGTATCTCCGTTTAGGTACATGCGGAACATTTGAAGTAGTTTGATACTTGGAAAAATGTTTCACAACGTGGAAAACCATTGCTTTTGAGAACTACAGATGGTCAGCTATCTTTTTATACAACTAATTCTTCTCGCGATGTTTATTACTTCCCTTGTAGATTTATCCTGTTTTTAACTTTCACTAAATAGCGTCAAAATTATACGAATGTTAGCCACATAGTTATCTACTTAAATTTGAATAAAAAATTTAATTATTCAGCGTTTTAAACTATATGACCAGCCCGTATAAATATTAATCCTAGGTTCAGATCTAATGTATAAAGTTTATCTATTTATTTTTTAGCCAATCATGCGTATCAACGAATATACCATTTGATATCGCGAAAACTTTTCCATAATAGTGTTATGGAAAAGTTTTAGCGATATCAATATAAAATACAACTTTACACTTGTTAGCTTGACAAAGTCTTCCGTATAAATGAGCATTCATTATTAAATGACTACCACCAATGATATAATATACAAGTACAATGTTAAAACATCATTGACCACCACTGTATATGTACTTATATGTTCTCCTTCCTCAATTTCTGCTCTTAGATTGAGTGGTTAAAATGGCGTAATTGAAATTTCTATTTAAACTACAATGTAAAACTACATTTCTATTCAAAATAAAAATAATGTCTGTCCTTCAACGTACTGAGGGTAGCTAACGATAACGGTTTTAATGGGGCCCTACATAGTCCTGTCATCCCACAGAGACAGGATATCATAAATATCAAAGATTAGGTACGTACTAAAAAAAGACCGCATCTTAAGAATGTTCGAAAAAAATCCAAAAAAAAATGGTCTTATTGAGAAAACATTTAACAAACAACCATTACAGGACGTGAAAACTCGCTTGACAACTTGTATAATAATATGCTTGTATTTAAATTCTGTAGGTTAACAGTAACATTAGAATGTTTTTATTTAGATCGCTTATCCATGACCTCAATTTTGCGTAAGCCGCGTAATTAGCAAATACAATTAAAACGTCTTTTGAGTTACTATAACGATATGATGTGTGAACATAGGAAGAAAATACCTTGCACGATTTGTATTACCTAAAAGAATTTGGGTTTTAATTTTTTTCTTAAATCAATTGTAAATTTACTTTACCCCTTCAAAAAATAGGCAATATCTTGTAAAAATAAACTCGTTTTGTCAGAATTCTGAAATTATTATTGAATAAAGTAAGGATAAATTTGAATAGCTACTGCTAGACAGTTCACTGATTGCCATTTACTTAAGGTAACGCACGCTAAGTGGATGTTTTACAAAAAAAGATAGCGATAATGTACCGTCACAAATTTTAGGTGTAATGCCAAACCACACAGCTCACATTTAATACTCATCTCTGTTGTATTGTTTGATTAATCGGTAGTCCAATAGAAACGACCGCTGAATCGCGAGTGTGGACGCGGTACGGAGTCCGGAAGGGACGGTGTAGCATCCGGGAATTTCTTGGCGCAAGGGCAGGGCGGCGATTCGGGCGCGGGTCTTGGGCTGCAATGTATCCTTGGTCTTGTAAAATATCCGAAATCGGGCCTCTCCATGCTGAGTTTGTCTTTCATGCAACCGTCGAACGCGGCCTGCGTCGTGCGGCACGGACCGAAAGCATAATTGCCGGAGCTCTTGTCCACGCACTCGGCGTATTGGTTGAACTCCTCCAGGCAGTTCTTCTTCAGTTTCCTGAAGAAGTCCAAAGTGCACTCGGTGACCCTTTTGCCGAGCTGGATGCATGCCCGCGGGTCGTTCAGCTCGTAGCGGCACAGCATGTACTCGTTGTTGATGACTTCGCAAGCCTTGCCCAAATACGGCGCTGCTGTCATTAGTGTCGAAGTAGTTAAATCCACTTCTGGTACCGTGAGATCGCTAAACGTAGGCAATTCCACATCATTTGTTACCACCATTATTACAATCAAATATTACTATTAGGCGCAACAGTTTTATCTATACTACTTTATTTGGTTATCTTGCGTCAAATATTATTTTGCATATAGTCGCGATTTTTTATTGACATCAGGGTTGTTTCTTTCTACGTTTTTGTATGCATAATTTTATATATGACCAGAAGCAATTTGATTTACACACGTCAATTTATCATATTTATGATTATTTACTACAATTGATGTATCGTCAATCATATTTTCAATCTCAGAACTTACAACAACTTCGAAATTTGCTGGACATTTGCCGAACTAATTGCGCAAAATAGGTACTGTTTTTTGTGTTCCGTTTTTTTATCATAATATAATTTTTCAGTCGAGGGACAGTCGTTGTCATGTCCCCTCGTGCGTACGAGCAGTGGCTGGCTGGACCTGTTTCCGTTGCCCTGCAGAAAGCACGGCGAGTGTCGCGTTATGGGCACCCAGCACCTTTGCTGCAAGGGCTTTTGCACAAAGGGAGTAAATAAGGCATCGGCTATTCGGTAAGAGCTCTTTAATAAATATAAGCGGAGTTGCCTTTTTTATTTTCTGCCTTTTATTTTCAATGCTTTCAGTAGTTAGATTTTTTAATCATCACTAACTTTTTACGGTTGTAAAAAATAAACCAATAGTGAAAGTACGAATATTTTGGAGTAGCAATTCTTATAACAATTGCTACTCCAATTGTAACCAATAACGTGCTGATTAAATGAGATAGACCAAATTGTGTTTAACATTGGTTACATATAAAGCAATGCAAAACGATTTAATTTTATAAAAATTTCAAAAGAAGGCTGCACACCGAAACATAGTTTTTTGTAAAAAAAAATTTACCACGTCAATTGTAAACGGCTGATTGCTAACGTAAAAACAATGTTGCCTGGAAGTGTATTCTATAGTGTGATGCCACTGTTCCATGGTCGGTAACGGATAACAATGTTGCCTTAACTTTTGCCTTAAATTTTACTATAGTAAATATTAAAATTTTACTTTACAATATATTATAGCTATTTGGTGTGAACACAGAATTTGGTGCAGAGAACAGATTTTACTTTATTCTTAATTTCAATTATCCATAATGATGGCTGAGATTTTGCCATCAATTCATTTAAATGGTAATCAATGACTGGTATAAAAGTGAGTGGCTTGATCAATTCTATCAGGTAAGCAATGGCAATAACGTTTCGCGGTACTATTGCAATTATTTCACGATAAAACAAAATATTACGTACAACGCCGCTCTCTTCAATTTTATTGTATTAATTAAGACGTAACGTAATAAGTAGTTTTACTTCGAATGTGAAAACTGTGCTATCGTTTTAGAAACATTGCGGTCGAAAAAAAAACATCTTAGAAAATTTATTCAGCGACCTATTAAAGAGTGTATTATCAGATATTAATTAGCTTAGTGTATACCTGTATAAAAATATGAATTAATTTAGTTTATTCAAAAGAAAAAAGTTATTGGAATGCTTATTTAGATATATGTAAGAGCCGTGATAGGTCAGTGTACGGGCCCTCGCCTTTAATTCAATATACTCGACCAACGTGAGTTCGATCCCCGATGCCGGCACCAATGACGTTTTTAACTTTTAGTGCTGACTTATCACGTGCTCCGCGGTGAAGGAAAACATCGTGAGGAAACCTGCATATTTTCGAAATAATAACAAAATGAAATATATATTTCGTAAATATGTAAATATGTAAACTCCGCCAATCCGCAGGGGGCCGCGTGGTGAACTATGTCCTGATACCCTCTGTAGAGGAGGCCTTTGCCTAGCAGTAGGATATGTATAGGCCGTTACTTTATATATAGAAGCGTTAAATTGTCTCATTAGGTAAACGGCTTGGGGGTCGTAAGATGTTTTTGTTAATCTATGTTTAACACAAACATCTTACGGAGAAAAGAATTTACAAGGCAAGATTATAATAAAGATATACCGTATCAGAGTTAGCCCTCGACATATTATTATGTCAATTAACATTTTGTCATGATATTGATTCATGTTAAAATTTGTAAAAACTGATTTGATGATCTCTGGTAAATTATAATTTTTTTAATTTTTGCATAATAAAGTAACATCCTACTACCTATATATGTCGAACTGCTGGGCAAACGCCTCCTCCGTACAGAGGGTACCGGGTCCTAGTCTACCATGGCGCCCCCAGCGCGGGATTGTAGGATATATCTGTTTTTATTTGTACTGTTATTTCTAAAATATGCAAGTTTCCTCATGATGTTTATATTCACCGCTGAGCATTTTATAAATTAGCACTTAAAATTGTAATTCACTGCGGGTTTTTACATAATTACCGGTAAGAGACTAGTGATGTTCATTGTTCTCAATTAATTATTGCATTCTTACGTTGTATATTGTAACTAACTAGGTTTAAAGTGTAACAAATGCGGAAAGAGCGAAATGAAATAAATAAATATGGATAGGCTTATTGGGCTGGGTATAGTTGTACAAAGTAAAACAAATTCATACGAATATTTGTTTTTTCAGGAAATGTTGGAACTTATGTTATATTTTTACTATATTCTTTCTTTTTTTTTATTTAAAGAAAGCATAGAATTTGGACTAAACCAAAGTTGCGTTAACTTAAATTTAGCGAGATACCTTTTACGACAGTAGTCAAAAAGATTTCTGTATGGCTTGTCTTGCTTTGAATAGTTACGTCCAACAAACTCGACATCAGTCATCAATCATCCTCATTTTCATTTCATTTTCGTTTGCACAATCACAAACAGTTCGAAGTCATTTACAAATGTTATAGAACTAGTGAAGACCCGAGCAGTAGTGTAGAAAAGTTGAGTAGCACCAGCACCAGCACCAGCACTTCGACCACAACCAGCACCACAACGACCACTACTACCACAACAACCACTACAACCCCGAGTACCACAACCACCAGTTCGACAACGACCACCACAACGCCAGCGCCAACCACCACTACGACTACGACAACTGAAGCGCCCAGACCATTCTTCCAGTTGCTGCCCATTCAGAGCACTCCATCAACCCCAGCTGCACCTGCTAAAATTGGTAAGCGTTCTATTTTAAACAACTTCTTTTACTGTGGTACACACATAGTGTTTCACATATAGTCTTGTCTCAAAAACGACCTGAAGAATGAGTGAGGTAACTGTAGATCACACTTTTTAAAGTTGACTAAAACCCTATACGTATTGTAAAAGGCTAAGGGCGGCGGTTATCATTTAATATCAACACCGAGAGGGTCAATACCAAATTTTAGGAATTTTATCAAAAAAGGGGTCTAATTTTTGAATAACAAGTATATTCAAAATTTGGATCCTATTATTGAAATATTTATTTATTTATTTATTACACATACCAACAGTATACATATTAAAAAACTTAGTGATATTACATTACAATATGTTGTCATTGTCACTGTCACAGGTATGTACAACTTTTACAATATAACACGTACCTATATTAGAATAAAAAATAACTTATTAAAAAAAATCTTATTATGTAAAAGAAAATAGAAAAATGAAATAAATTTTAAAATCAGAAAGTCTAAACTAATTGTAGTAATTTAAGTAGCATTTGTATTATTTTGTTGATGCAACGACTTCAGTATCTTGTTTTTGATTATGGGAAGCGAATCATGAAAAATGTCGATATCAAATTTAGCATTAAGCATGTTGTACTCATTACATATCCTAATTAGTGGACTGTTTGTACCGAGATTTGTGCGAACTGAGGGTGTGTAGAATATTTTAGTATGAGTTTTCCTAGGTATTGTACGTGGGACATTAAGGACTATTTTACATCTTATATTATCACATTTAATAATGTTATTTAGCACTTTATATAGGAAAATGAGATCATTTAATTTCAATATTTGAATGATATTATATTCTTAATATCAAAAATTCAAGCTTCTTATATTTTTTCACTATACAAGCACAATTGTTACAACTTTGTTTCATCGATTATTCGATATATTTTCATATATCGATTTGTTTCTCTGTACTAGTTCTCCAGATTGTGCTAACATATTCTATCTATGTGATTTTTCCAATAAAAAAAGATCCATTTTATTTCTGTAAACAGGGAAGACGCAAAAGTTTGTGTGCCCCAAGAATCCGGCACCAGTGGTACTGTTCCCTATTCCCTGCGAAAGCAATTCACAGTGCCGCGCCAGCAGCGGTGCGGATCAGGTGTGTTGTCAAGGCCGCTGCGTGAAGGGGGATCCGGCCCCACGGCCGACTGTGCAGCAATCGCACCAACGTAAGCGTCATCCATACTGATATTACTAGCGCGAATACTCTGTTTCTTTGACTTTGTGTAGTGGTAACGGGGCTTTTGCAATGATAATTAAGATTTCTAAACCCAGCGTGAATAGCTACATTACTTGAGGACAAACACTAGGTCATTCTCTTTAAGATAGTTGAATCCAAATTCATAAGTCCCAGCCTTTATTCAGTATCATATTTGTATTTCGTTAATAGGTATTTATAAATATGTATGATTGATGAATTCGTAAACATAAACCAGCGTGTACTCCATCCTGTTTAAATACTAATGTATCTAATTTATTATTTCATTTTTCGGCACTTGTTCGTATATGAAAGCAGTACTTCACAGACACTAGACCTTGTGCTGTATTCACTAGTGTGAATTTGAATATCTTCCCAAGTCTCTATTGTGGAGGCCCTGGGGCTATAGCCTCGGTTGCGCTCCCCTAAATCCGGCGCTGGACACATGTATACAATACTACTATACATTTGTTGTTGTTATTGGCGACGATAACACCGAGAAATTTGTCGCTTTGCAATCAACTTCGTGTCGTAAAATTTTTTCAAGACGCGCCAAACGAGGTATGGCTTCCAAAATCAGTTCAATCGTCATTGCAGCCCTTCTGGGCGTGATCCCGCGGGAGTGTCCGGAGGCGCCGCTGGGCGAGCTGCTCTTCGATGTGCAGTCGTGCAAGTCGGACGCGGACTGTTGGCCGCGCGTGTGCTGCCCCGACGGCACCCGCTCGTACTGCCGCACGGCACGAGCGCGCCTCGACCTAGTGCCAGTGGCGAACGCGATCGACGGACGTAAGCCCCTTTCGAGATTATAATAACGCTTAGGTACATATTCGTTACCAGTCGCCTTTTAAACGAACAAGCGATTCGTTTCCCCGACACCGGTTAGAGTGAGGCTCTGTATTTCTTTTTTTTTTTTGTTTTAAAAACATTGCCCTTGCTTTAGGATAACATTATCCTGTGTTGTAAGAACGTTTTACAAACATGAATTTCACTCGGCGGACAAACACCCAGATGCGAAACAGCTGTCTGTAGTTCATACAATAGTTGTCCCGTGTGGAAATCGAACCCACTCCCACCAACGTCGAAGCCAATAACAGGCAAGTGTACCACGGAGTCATCAAAATTTCGATGTTTCTATTTCTTATTTCAAAATAATAAGTATCAATATATTTTATACTGGATCACGATTTAAAGTAAATTATTTTCACATGCTTAATAAATTGAAAATTATGTTAGTCATTCAACAACAGATGGCACACCATCAATAAATTATTTCTAATACCACATCAATTCAAATGAGTAATGGAATGAATAGGTACCTTATGCAATTTATCTGAAATAAATTGGTTCAAAGATAATACTTTATGAGATTTAACTATTTTCTGCTAAAAACTAACATATCCCAAATACGGATGAGAAATTGAACCTAATTGGTCATAAGATCATACGATGCCGTAGCGTGAAAATGACCGTTGCACTGTTGCCAAGGTATTTGCTTCGGCGCCGGGGGTCTTGTTCGATTCCCACACGAAATCACTATTTGTGTGACACATAGTATTGCATATAATTTTTTCGGATCTGCGTGTTCGTCTTAGAATTTGTTAATGTCGTTAAAACATAGGCCAATGTTATCCAACCGTACCCAACAGTGCAGTAGGCAACGTTTAAAAAAAAATATAAAAGTAACAGGCTGCATGTGTGGCTCCACGCTGGGCTAAGGTCACCTATATACAGAGGATATTAGGCGGCCTTCACATATGTATGAAATATTTGTTATTATTACGAAAATAGGAGTTTTCTCGTGTTTTCCTTCACCGCTGAGCACGTGATAAGTCAGCACTTAAAATTAACAATTTCATCGGTGCCGGCATCGGGGTTTGAACTCGGGTTGCTCGATTAATTTGAATTAATAGCGTGCGCCCGGACTGAGCTATCACGGCTTACTTACAATAAACGTTATTTTATTTTTTCAGCTCTACGGTCATTTGAACAGTATCTGCAGTGTACAACGCCACCTCAATATGATCCATTTCCACAAAAGTGCAGTTCTAGCGTAGATTGTTTCCCAAATTTGTGTTGCGCCGAAGGTGGCAAGAAACACTGCCGACCTCCACAACGTAGTTTGTTCTCTCTGCTTGCTGGAGTAACTCAGGTAAAATTGATTTGACTTGGCGTCATATATAATTCACTTTAAATAATACTTAAGAATAATTCTTTAATATTTAAAATTTCTGGAACCGTTAAAACACATATTGATCAATGAAATAATAATACTATGAAAGTATTGAACAAAATGTTCTGCGAAAAACAGTCAAGTGAGTCTCAAAGCATGAAATCCAAAGAAAGTAAAAGGCGTTTCTTTCAAAAACATGTTTGTAGTGCTGATGAAGCAGATGTAAGTTTGACCATAACATTTACCTTTACATATATATTTATATGGGAAAGGTTGCCAAACGAGCAGACGGTTCACCTGATGGTAAGTGAATACCGCCGCCCATGGACATCTGCTACACCCGACGGTTACAGATGCGTTGACAACCTTTTGAAAATTGGGCTCCGGCTACCTCACTCACCAGACGAAACGCGAAAGTATTTGTCATACTTCCAGTTTACGCTGGTCTTCTGTGAGGTCGTGGTACTTACCCGGACGGGCCTGCCCATTTGTGCAGCAGCCGAGGCTGCGTGTGTGGCCCTACCACCATATATTTTTAAGTTGCCCTTATTAATCGAAAATTTATTTTTGGTTATAGTGTAATGGGGATTAATTTTGAAATGTCTGTTATTGAACACTGAATGAGAAAGAGGGTCCACAACTGCTTCTGTTTTTTCGCCTTTCTCACAAAAATACATACCTCAGTTAATCCAGAACATGAGACTCCCAGTCAAAGCATGTGTGACGATGGAAAATGACCTCGCTGAACACGGAATACGGCTGCTCGCTTCTTCACTGTTGTGGGCATACACCTTAGAATTGTTTATTATATACCTTATCCTTCACGGTACACATTTTTTGATCCGAACGGTGTTTTTCGCCCGCGTACCGCTTCAACAAAACACGGGAACTGCAGTTTCAAACGCGCATCCAAACGATGTCCGTTTTCCTTCGATAAGGTCGAAGCCTTTATTCAACACCATTTTCACTTCGGTTCTGCTTAACCTCATTTGAAGGGCCAACAGTTTCAGCTTATTCATGGGATTTTTTAAGCGATAAACGGTTCTTTTGGTCATATTAAATTTTTTCAGTAGTTCGAAAGTCTGATTAGGCGTTTAACCGCATTGATTCAATGCGATAACTGTTACTCGGTCTTCTTTAAGAGCCCACTCCATACGAAAACAGGAAAGTTTTCATTATGTGACAGAACTATTGACTCGACTAGTAAAAAAAAAAAGTAAAGTAACAGCCTATAAATGTCCCACGGCTGGGCAAAGGCCTCCTCAGTACAGAGGGTATGAGGGCATAGTCCACCACGTGGCCCCACTGCGTATTGGCGGACTTCACATATCTTCGAAATATTTAGGTTTCCTCACGACTTTTTCCTTCACCGCAGAGCATGTGGTATATCAGGGCTTAAAATTAACAATTTCATTGGTGACGGCACGGGGGATCGAACTCACGTTGCTCGAGTATATTTAATCAAAGGCAGGCGCCCAGACACTGAGCTATCACAACTCTTGGTATAACTGTACAGAAATCGAATGTATCTTTAGTACAGCTATTAATTTTAGATTCGTAATTTTTTTCAGAGATTTGGATGAATCCAAAGAGCAAGCGAGCAAGAATGAATCAGAATAATTAATTTGTAATTTATATTTTATACTTTTATATTTTAAAGAAATAAATTAGTAATATATTAATATAGCTTTTAATTTGATAATTAGTACCATATTAAATGAAACAAATGTTTAATAATAATTTTTTATTAACCTAAGGTTGATCCATTTAGTCCAGCTGAAACAAAACAAATTTTTTTTTTTATTATAGTTTTGTTATGAAGGTTTATTAATAACCTTTCACAAATAATACAAAAAAAACATGAAATACAATTCATAAAATCTGGTTGTTTGTAACTTCAGACTCAGAGTCTTTGAAAAGTCGCCAGTATTATAACACAACATATTACAGCAAAATACAAAATTTCTCAAAAAATATAAACCTTAAAAAATATTCACTTTAATTAATGCTCGTTTGCCTATTGCCTTGTGTGCGAGACACAGAAGAATTCAATCATGTACTTTGAAATATATTTGATCAAACCTTCTGGTATACCTATATTTTTTATATTATATAATAAAAACAATCGCAGTTATATATTCAGTTATACAATTCTCCACTAAATGATACTTATTAATAATAATAATACAAGAAAGATTGTAATATTATTCAAGTTTACAATGAAAAACTATGTAATTAAACTTTAAATACACATACATGTATTTATAAAAGTTTTTTATACAAGGAGACATTGCCAATCTATTAAAATGAGGCCCAGTTACCTCTCTCTTCCATATTGATAAATATAAGATAAATTTAAGGGGGTAAATTTTTTGGCTAATATTCCGAATAGTATGTCTCGTTTTTCAAGCTAGAAAAAAATTTTAATCTATGGAGAAATGTTAATAATTATATATTATATAAGTTATAATCAATGAAAACCACTAGATTATGAGGAAAAAATTAACAGTTTTTAAATTTCATACAACTGAAATCCGTCATTACTGTGCGTCCATTATTCATTATGGTTTCGTTGTTAGGTTTTTTTTTATGACCACCCAGAAAACTTTAGTGTAACAGTACCTTTAAAGACTCTTTTTTAATAATGCGAAGGTTATAATTTGGAAAAGTGTGTGAATTCGTAAATTTATACATGTTATCAAACACAAAATGGCGGATTTATTTAGATAAAATAACAAGTTTTAAATATTTTTTTTATTAAAAGTAAGTGTTTTCATGGTTTTCACATATGTAATATTTAATTATTAACATTTCTCTATCGATTAAAATTTTTTTCTAGGTTTATAAACGAGACATACTGTTCGGAATTTTTACAAATTTTTTTAATGAAATAAGAAATGCTAATATAATTGCTACTTATGTTGATATTTTTTAAAACATGATGTTTTTTAAAAGAATGTAAATATATATTGTCCTGTCAATATGTAAATGTGTAAATAATATAAAAATATTTTAAACCAAGTATTACTTGTGAACATGACATTATACAATGTGACTATTAATCCATATACACGATATAATAAAAATATATTATTATTTGTCCAGCTATTTTTTTATTTGTGAATCCTGGTAAATATTTACAACCTTACACATAATTTTATGCACTTACAAAAATTGATAGAAAAATGTGACTATTGAAATAGAGATAGGATAGAAATATATAATTTAAATATTTTATTTTTCACTAAGAAAATCCACAAATTTATTGAATGCAATTTGTAAATACTGATAAGGTATTGGCAGTATTTAAATACAGCCTAGAATTAACAGAATTGACTAAAAGTTTCTAATATAAAGTTGAAAAATAGTCAATCACTTTAAAAATTAAGATCTTTCAATCTCTATGTTACCAATTTGTTTTATACTGTTTCAATTATATTTTTTAAAGAGGAATGTTAACAAACAGTAGTCAAATAACTGAATAAATAATATCTGTCGTAATAAAAATTTATTGCATGCACAAGGCATATGCAGATGTTATATCATGGTGAAGAATAAGATGTTTTTAATGTAAGTACAAAGTCGTGCATAAATATTTTATGTAGTCATTTAAACAATGGTTATAACTTAAAAGTTAGAATGAACATTCGTAGTTACTGTGCCAAAAGGTTCATCCAACAAAATTATGTCTTGTTTTCAATATATTTACCAGCAGAAGCTAACAATTAATAAAATATTATTAAAAGTAAGTGTTTTCATGGTTTTCACATATGTAATATTTAATTATTAACATTTCTCTATCGATTAAAATTTTTTTCTAGGTTTATAAACGAGACATACTGTTCGGAATTTTTACAAATTTTTTTAATGAAATAAGAAATGCTAATATAATTGCTACTTATGTTGATATTTTTTAAAACATGATGTTTTTTAAAAGAATGTAAATATATATTGTCCTGTCAATATGTAAATGTGTAAATAATATAAAAATATTTTAAACCAAGTATTACTTGTGAACATGACATTATACAATGTGACTATTAATCCATATACACGATATAATAAAAATATATTATTATTTGTCCAGCTATTTTTTTTATTTGTGAATCCTGGTAAATATTTACAACCTTACACATAATTTTATGCACTTACAAAAATTGATAGAAAAATGTGACTATTGAAATAGAGATAGGATAGAAATATATAATTTAAATATTTTATTTTCACTAAGAAAATCCACAAATTTATTGAATGCAATTTGTAAATACTGATAAGGTATTGGCAGTATTTAAATACAGCCTAGAATTAACAGAATTGACTAAAAGTTTCTAATATAAAGTTGAAAAATAGTCAATCACTTTAAAAATTAAGATCTTTCAATCTCTATGTTACCAATTTGTTTTATACTGTTTCAATTATATTTTTTAAAGAGGAATGTTAACAAACAGTAGTCAAATAACTGAATAAATAATATCTGTCGTAATAAAAATTTATTGCATGCACAAGGCATATGCAGATGTTATATCATGGTGAAGAATAAGATGTTTTAATGTAAGTACAAAGTCGTGCATAAATATTTTATGTAGTCATTTAAACAATGGTTATAACTTAAAAGTTAGAATGAACATTCGTAGTTACTGTGCCAAAAGGTTCATCCAACAAAATTATGTCTTGTTTTCAATATATTTACCAGCAGAAGCTAACAATTAATAATATATTATCACTTACCTTCTTGAAACCAATGTCATGTGCGTATTCCCTAAAACATTGCCTGCAAATGTTTAAGCCATATTTGCGAATTAACCCATGTCGGTTTGAACAAGCTCGGCTGTAAAGAAAATAGGTATTAAGTAAGAAACACGTGCTCCTAACCAAATTAATTAATTAATTTATGTAATATTAAAAATAATTGAATACCATGAACGCGATCCTTGTCCATATCTACGTGGATGAGAATACCAAATATTAGCGTGACCCATGTTGAAAAATTATTTTTCAGCCGCTAAACGCACGGACACGTCCAAAATGGCGGATGCACAGTATAAAAAGGATTTTTTTTTTATGGAAATAATTTTAAACAGATGTCAAACCACAGAGTTGAGAGTTCAGAATAAGACACAGATTTTCCAGAATCGGCCCAGATAGTTTAACCACTAACATAAACGACTGATTACCACACCGAAGAAAATTTCAACGTATTTTATTTATAATATTATTAACTTTTTTATGAAATTATTAATGAAATAATAAGATGGCTGTACTCACGTTTAATCGATTTATGTACAGACTCGTTTCGGACGCTTATTTAAAGGTGAACTACAATAAGCCGTGATAGCTCAGTGTCCGGGCGCTCAGATTTAATTCAATATACTTGAAGAACCTGAGTTCGAACCCCGGTGCTGGCACCAATGAAATTGTTAATTTTAAGTGCTGATTTATCACGTACTCAACAAAAACAAATATTTCGAAGATATGTGAAGCGCGCCAATACGCAGTTGGGCCGCGTGGTGATACCCTCTGTAAAGGAGGCCTTTGTCCTGCAGTGGGTTATGTATAGGCTGTTACTTTACTTTACTTTTTACAATAAACACGATCTTATCCACACAGAGAAAAAAAAAACGGTTGCGTGACTTGAACCCAATACCTCCTAAAACATAAGGACTGCCAAAATATATAATACATAATCAGAACTGGTCCCTTTGTGAGTCAAATCGTATCGACTTCTTACAAGAGTTCACATCACATGGCAAGTATCTTGCAGATAGTATGTAGAAAAACAACGAGCTTCGTAAGATACTCCAAACATTTCATCCATCTATTAGAGTACGTCAAAATCCAAAACGATAAGGTGGCGTCTCTATTCACCAGCAATTCAGCTAAATTATCAGCATCAAAAATTATTGATATAATCAAACAACAACTCTTCGTAAACACTTTCCTTACTAGTCGCTATTTTACCTATGGTGAGGAGATTTTTATCTACAAATAGATGAAGTGGCGATGGGCTCACCAATAGCAACAGTTGCGGCCAATATATTTTGGAACATTTCGAGGAGGAAGTGTTAAATAGTGCGCTATTAAAACCAAGATACAGGTGGAGATGCGTAGACGATGTGTTTGACAGAGTTTCCAGACGGGTGTTAGTAAACTATTGGGCCTTAAACCTTAACGTAATAGTGCAAAGATACATTTCACTACAGAGGTGGGAAAAGATGGAACTCTGTGACTACGGTATTCAGGAAATCGCATACGGGTCGGTATTTAAGTACAGATTGTCATCATCATTCGTTGCACATGTTTTCTGTGCCTCACACTCTCATGAATCGTGCACTTCACCTATGAGATTCTGAATTACTGGAGTTTGAATTGACAAACGTGTGGAACGTGTTAGAGTGCAATGAAACTGTCGACAGAGTTGTGGCAAATACAAACCAGCAAACAACGGCCTCAGAATGTAGAACAAGTTCCGATATATTTACCGTACATAAGAGGGGTTACGGACTGAATTGGACACCCATTACGCCGTAGATATAGGATCAGGACAAATTTCCGCCCCATAATATAGATTAGTCCTACGGTAGCCCCTCGGGATCCTAAGGATCGGGAGCCTCTAGATAGCAGCGGTGTCAAACTGAGCACCCGGACACTGAGCTATCACGACTTGTAGTTTACCTTTTAATAAGGGTCCGAAACGAGTCTGTACATAAATCGATTAAACGTGAGTACAGCCATCTTATTATTTCCCTTGTATGAAATTCCATGCGAATCCGGTAAAACCTAGATAAATACTAGGCTCACCGAGCACATCCACAGTGTACGCAAAATGGACGGCAACACCTCGGCTGTGGCAGAGCACGCCCTTAACTCTGACACCGCACATTATATTAGGTTCGATGGTGAAAGTCGTCCGTGAAATTAACTTCTTCAGCTTTTGGAAAGCATTGGACCGACCGCCATGTCAATTTTAATACAGACAAGGGATGGAGTCTGCCGCTTATTTGGAAACCAGTGTTGTTAAATGTGACGTGGAATAAGAACGCTATTGCTGACGATTGTGTAGTGGACACAGTGTGTATATTTTATGCCCCTAGACACCAACAGTGAGAGACAATTTCGTATTTTAGCAATGCTTGGCACATCTTTTGTTATTTCCTTTAAAGCACACTAGTGCCTGCACCACCCGCCCAGGCTTCGCACGGGTGCAATGAATTATATAATTTGCAATGTATTAAAATTTGAACAAAAAATTTCATCACTCAAATATTATAATGTATAATAATTTATTTTTCTAAAAATTTCATTTTGTCATTGAAGTCCGTTGTTAAAATTATATATGAATGATCCGACCGTTATAGTAACGCGCGCGATAAACAATTTAACTCTCCCGTCGCTGCCCCACATGAGATGCGTCGCCTCTGGGACCAGGTGGCATCGACAGAGCCCTGAGAGGGCTAACGTCCGCCGATGTATTACCGCACCTGGTGCGACGCTAAATACATACATTATCAAACACACACATGGCTCAGCACACTCGACGGTGAGTGCGGGGTTCCCGATTCGCAGCCTACACATGAAACCCTCGTGTACCAATCCGCTTTCGAGTCGTTCACATCGTGATATTACTTTTATTGAATAGCAAATCTGAATAAATTCGTTTGATCATTAATACTAATATTATAAAACTGAAGAGTGTTTGTTTGATCTCGCTAATCTCACGATGCTATTTGAAAAAATCTTGCAGTGTTAGATAGCCTATTTATAGAGGAAGGCAGTACATGCGGACGGAGCCAGGGGGTGAAAACAAGTCGAGTAATAAAAAATATAACAATCCGTGGGTCATCTGCATGTGAACCTCTTCCGACAAAGCTATCATAGCCGGGCTAACACCAAATTACATTTGATAAAAAAAAGAGTGGTCACACTGTGACTAGGTTCAAACCAATATCCTAGCCACTAGGGGTGGGCAAGTACAAAAAAGTATATCGACATATAACGTACCGATATTTTAATATCGACAAAAGTATCGATAAATATCGAGTGAAAAGTATATCGTTATTTTTCGCATGATTATAAATACATTTTCAAACCATTCAAAATATCTAAAATAGAATAGACATGAAGAAAAGAATTTTTAAAGTTAACGAAGCGCGAGGAGCATGCAAAGAGTATCTATTAACATTAAACACGAAACCAGAGATGCCTTTTAAATATATCGAAATTGACACGAGTTCGAGTCTGAAATAATTGCGAATATCGATATATCGCGATAAAAATATCAACGATATATATCGAAAATTGTATGGAAAAATATATTCGTACACGAGCCGCCGTCGTCGAGTTCCGAGCAGTCTTGCCAACTTAGGGCTTTTAGCCTGAAAAGGGCAGAAATATGTATATTGGGCTTTTTTTAGGATCCAAAAAAGTTTAGGACTATTTTCACTGACCGAAGTGAGAAAAATTAATGAATGTAATTAATGAAATGTTAGATAATATTGTGTTGTTTTGTTAATTATTTTAATTTACTATTTGTAATGAAAAGTAATAATCACTAATTTATATTTTATTTACCTTAACAAAACTTAAAGCTCATTTAAACAATATATTTAAATTTTCACTATAGGGCTCTTTTGGGGCTTTTGAAAATTGCATTCAGGGTTATTTAGAGCTAGTAGTTGGCAACTCTGGTTCCAAGGCTTCCGTTCCGTCATTCCGTCCAAGTTAATTCGGTTCAGTTTTATTTTTTTAATGACTTTTAGACACTTGACGTGTCGCTGAATTTTACTTACCTCTTTGAGCACGATATCACTATGGGGTTAATCATCGGACTTTTAAAGAGAATATTTAAATTGTTAATATACTTTGGAATATTTGTAGCAATTGTGCTTGTTATTCCTAATCTGCCCCCCTATACAAAGTTCACGGAAATAAAGTAAGTCTCTATCTATAATTGCTCAATCTGCAATTTACCGTTATGTGAAAGTAATATATTAAATATTTCAGGGTTGAACCAACTCTGCCAAGAACCGGTGTATTATCGCCCAATGGAGCTTTAAATAACGCACAGAAATTATTTACCGGAAAAATAATAGGACCTGAAGCGTTCCGCATATTTAATAATGAACTTTACACTGGACTTGCGACTGGCGAAGTAGTAAAGATTTCCCCTAGTGGTCATATAACATTTGTTACCAAAATAGGCCAGCCTTGCAGTGAGTATATTTTTTGCATAACAAAGTAGAAACAAATACTACAATCTTCTTACTTTCACTCTAATATATAGTGAAATGTATTTAGTAGTTTAAATATAACCAGAATCACCTTAAATTAATCTTTAAGACAGTATGTATACTACTCGTCTTGATATTGTGTACAATAAATAACTTATCATGTTGACTTACACTTTTTCTGTAAGATGTGAGTAACAATTAAAATTGTTGACATGACCTTTGTTTATCGAATATTTTCTCGAAGAATGAAAGTGCACTTGCTGATAAAAAGTTATTGTTTTATTTTCTAAATATATTTTTATAGCATTGAACAATGTCATTATGCATTTTATTAACATTATGCATTAACTCTGGCGTAATTCAATTAAAATAAATTTTTAACGATAGAGAAAAATCACTAATGAATTTATCAACAAGCAGAATTCGGCGGACGCTTATAATTTTCGAGAAAAAAATATTTAAAACTTGTTATTTTTACTAAGAAATCCACCATATATAAAATAAATATATATATATATATATATGTTATATTTTAATCACATCTTTAAAAAAAAGTGGAACTGTTGAGTTTCTTGCCGGTCTCTTCTCAACAGAAACTGCCCTCCGAACAGGTGGTAGCTTAACTAAGTAACCCCAACAGTGAGAATTTATAACATCTCATTGTATTTACAATCAAGTAAATTTTCCACCTTATACAGGGAGACTTTTTTTACACAGGTGGTTCAGACTCGGTAGTATATTAGTTTATTGAAATAAAAATTGCCATTATATTCCTTAAAAGACAGACCTTGTTGACAACGCGGTAGCCATTCACAAATACCTAAATGTTACTGTTCACGCACACAAACAAACTTGTGTGCGTCTTAGTTATGAATGATCGCGCGGAAAATAAATGAGTTGCGTATAAATCACGCAGTTTTTGAGATAAGTTCAAATGAATGTAACTAATTATTACGAGTGATTAAAATATTTATCATTTATATATAACATTATTCATGTCTAGAATTGTATTTAAAAAAATGGATACATTTAGAAAAGCCCCCCTGTATTTTAAAATAAGAAGAAAAATACTGTATAAAATTCGAATATTGTTCAGTAAATAATATCTTTCTGTTGAATTTACTGAATTTTGCAAATATTTTTTGGGACATACATATAATTATGATGTGGACTGTATATGTGTCATGATTATTTGATTACAATTTGAAATATCTTATTTTACATTTCAGCTGGCCTTTTTCAAGAACATGTTTGTGGACGCCCACTTGGATTAGATATAGACGAAAAAAATAATTTGTTGTATGTGGCCGATTCATATTATGGCATATGGAAAGTTAATCTAAAGACTGAGAAGAAACAGTTGCTGGTTTCACCTAATGTAGAAATAGATGGTAAAAAAGTAAAAACTTTTAATGGTGTCACTTTGGACAAAAATGGCAACCTTTACTGGACACATTCATCAAGTGATTTTGATTTGAAGGATGGTGCAATGACATGTCTTGCTGATCCATCTGGGCGGTAAGTTTTTTTAATCATTATAATTATTTTTACTTTTATGTTGTAAAGATCTATACTTTTTCATTTACTTTATGTAAGTGCTATGTACATTCTTTATGATTTTGGTCAAAGTAACTATGCTCAAAACTTAATATGACTAAACTTAATATAACTAGTTTTCTGGTGGTTTACTCTATTTGAGGATAAGATATTGAGGGCCAAGTTTCATGTCAGCTTGTACAACATCTATGGACTTACGAGTTGTAGCATTCAAAGTTAAAGGCAACACCTTGAAATATTTTTAAGATCAATTTGATATACCTTTCCAGTTTTTTCACTGGTTGCAAGTAATTTACAGCGATTCTAAGTGCTATTTGACTTTACTAGACTAATATGCAGTTAACTGTATGTTTTTATGGAATAATAATTTTTGCAGGTTACTGTATTATAATTCAGCAAAAAATCAAAGTGAAGTTCTACTTGACAATCTTTGGTTTGCTAATGGTGTGGCAATTTCACCAGACAATGAATTTGTGCTTGTTGCTGAAAGTGGTCATTATCGAATAAAAAAATACTTTATTAATGGACCAAAGAAAGGAAAGTCTGAAGTGTTTGTAGCAGGGTTACCAGGTAAGATAAAGTCTGCATTTTTTTAATTCATATTTTTATTTCTATGTATTTAATACTCATGTCAGTTGATAAGGTTATTTTTTTTTTATATATTGTGGATTATTAAAAAGTTTTTTTATCATGTAAACTTGTATCATACCAACAATCAACATGAAACTTATTTGAAAACTTGACCACACATCCACAATAAATGTATCTTCGAACGCAATATAACTGTCGCGTGCCTTCATCGCACTGTAGCGTTCTAACTGGTGTCGAGCTTGACCAACGTACTTAAGAACTCGCATAAATGACTCTGCTATATGGTCTACGTCTATATAATATGTATCGCCAGATTCGTCAACACCCATCCATTGCAAAATTTCTTCCAAAGGTTCTTCGCCCTCGGCAACACTTGCTGTAGTTTGTTCCTCCTCCATGGCTCTATTCTCCATAAGTACATATACATACACAAGCTTTGAGTTCATAATGCTGTATGAATTGTCCATACAAAATACATATTCACCCTCGTGTTCTAATTCTTTGACAAACGTATTCTGCGATTTCTTGTAGTCTGATAAGATTTTCTCACCATTAGGATCCAAAATGTCAAAAGATATATCCCAATCGCCATGTTGCCCATCTACAACTTCGTAATGCGCCTCCATTACTTGTCCGATTTTTCCGTGTTCAAAGAAGCATGTTCTCGACCCCGCATCGATTCGAAAATTCATATCGGTCTCGTAAATATATTGCGCAAATATATTTGGTGATGAAATTATAATGCAAAAACTTATAAAATGCATTTTCGACATGTTAATTATGTGACTTATACTACGAAAGAATCCTTATTAACCACTTGTAGATATGTGTAATACTGTTTGGACAGCTGAAGTTTGTTAGTTCAAACTGTTTGCAGTTACAGAAGAAATCCATTATATGCGTACATGTGTAACGCAATATGTTCACTAGTAAAGAAAAATTGTACTTAATGTTAATATACAAACTGTGACAAAAAAAAACGATTTCATAGTATTAAGTATACTATAATGTTTGCTGCAACCAAATTCTAATTAATTCCCTTCAAAGTATACTTCTTGGCCAGAAAGGCATTAGTGCCGGCGTTAATTCTTTGATAAAAAAAAATTATTTAATAAATATTAAATTAAGCTTCCTAGAACGGCGTTCAGCTGCTTGGTTGTGACTTTTTCAATCTCAAAATGTTTTGAGAGTTCCGATAGTTAGTCCGAGAGAGTTTTGTTACTTTCAGAACGATTATTGTTTTTGAGACGGAGCTAAAAATCGTGCTTAATTTCGATAACTGACTGTAACATACTTTTTTTTCGCTGAATACAGGGTACAGCGTATTGTTGTGGTCTACCTTCAGTCTATTCTACGCAGACGTAGTCGCGGGCAGCAGCTAGTGAACTATAAGACTAATTTCAAAATATTATAAATCCTCGTTATCATTCACCACATTATGGCGAATACAGATTTATACTTCAACTGGTTGCAGCCTCAACAGCTTTTGATAAAAAGAAATGATTGAAGTTTTTTGATCAATAAGGAGGAGGCTTGGGATGTCTTGGAATATTCAAATTCGTTAAATCTAGGCGACTGCTGCGAGTGTTTTATCTATGTGTAATAGTATAAGCACAGAAATAATTAAATTACAAATATTTTTAACAGGTGTCCCTGATAACTTCAGAGTCCTGCCTGATGGTTCAGGAATTCTCGCTGCATTGTATGTGGTTATTGATGATGAAACTCCGCTCATAAGTCAGTCACTAGCTGGCACACCAGCTGCCAGAAAATTTTTAGCTCGACTTAGCCGTATAATTGAAATACCTTTTGAATTTTTAAATGAAAACTTTCCACATGTTGTGTTTGAAGAAATTATTCATAAGGTTAGTAAATAAAAATAATTATCAGCGGACAACAAAGTGGCTCTCTCAGTATGTTATTCAATATTTTTTTTTTTCAACCATTAATTAAACTTATTTATTACAGATCGGCCACCTCTCTAGTTTATCCAGCATAATGCCTCAAACATCAGGTCTAATACAACTCGATTGGAATGGTAACATAGTTGCATCATATTTTAACACAGATAAAAGTTGTAACACCATTAGTGATGCCATTGTGTATAATGATAAGTTGTACCTAGGCAGTCCCCATGCACCATATGTTGCGTCCGTATCAGTGCCACCACCTCTAAAGAAAGCCTTTTCAAAGAGAGAATATCCAAGTGCTCCTACTAAAACAAACCAGGAAGCAAAGAAAATACCGCCCTCCCCTAAAACTGAATCCATTACCACAAATAAAGTGGTAAAAGATAAAGTTAAAGTGGTGGAAATTAAAGACATTCCCCAGGCTGCTAAGCCTTCAGTACAAAACACACCACTATCTAATAAGCAAATAAAGATCAATCAAGGAATGACTGGGGGAAAGAAAGAAGATATAGAAAAATCGAAAGCGATAGAAACTGAAGCGAAATCAAAACCAGTTGAAATAAAGCCAATCAAAAAAGAAACAGAGACCAAACCTAAACCAGTAAAAACACAAACTATAAAACAAAAAACAGAAAGCAAATCCAAACCTATTGAAACAAAAACAATTAAAGAAGAAGCCGAAATCAAGACAAAATCTGGTGAAACTAAAACAGAAAACCAAATCAAACCTAAGTCTATACAATCGAAAGAAGTCGAAAATAAGAAAGCACCGAATGATAAAACACCTACAACTGAACAGGATAATGTTAAAATAGCAAAAGAGACTATTAATTTAAATAAAAAGGTAGATGGGACTCAAAAATTGGATAAAGACCCTAAACAAAAACATGAGAAACAGAATAATATTAAGTCAAAACCAGTTAAAGTGCCTCATGACAAGTTATCAGAACCCAAGTTTGAAGCAATAAAAACTTCTACTGAGAAACCAAATGTGCACAAAGTACAACCAAAGCCTACACCTGACCAAATTCCAGTGAGAGAGGATATTCCCTCAGAGCGGATTAAGCCTCCTAAAGAAACATTAAAAGTAATTAAAAAGAGTGGACCAGTTGAAATCCCTAATCCTAATTAATGGTTGTGGTTTTGCTTTAATTTATTAATGTTGATATTAAATAAGTAATAAAGCAATCAGGCTAATAGAGAGGTATATTTAATATTTTTTATGGGAAATTAGATAAAAGTGATTTTTTGGATCATTCCATGTTTCATTCCGAGAAATAAGAATGCGCCTAAAGTTTGAGTACAATAACAAATAATTATTTTCATTTTGTGCTTAAGGTAGATGGATGATCTCAACTCAGACTAATTTATAAAATTGCGTAGCTATTTTTGAAGTATTTAATAACGAGGCTGAAAATTTTAATTCTATTATATTTTACCAATATTATGAATCTATTTGCGAAAGTAGTGTTAAAATAATAATTTTTAGAAACTTTTTTTACATACATTTTTTACAGGTTACCAATATACTAGTGCAATCAAGCTTGTAATAGATATATTTAATAATTTTTTTCATGTTTCTCTATAATTTATATATAAAAGTTAATTCTTTAAAAGAGTTGTGTATTTTGTTAATAATTTTTCAACAAAAAGTTTATAAGAAAATTGACAATTTTTTACACATTTAATTATAATAAAACTTTTAATTTATAACTATAGATGTTTCTTTTTAATTCCCATACAGTTATTATTTGTCTAACTTGATTCGTTTTTAGCGCGCATGTGATATTATGGTAGCCAATATCACTACCATAATCATCATCGTTCTAGTTTGTTTGAGTCCACTGCTGATTTGTTGAACATAGGCCTCTCCGACAGACTGCCACGAAGGCAATCCTAGGGATGCCGAAAGTGAAGAAATATATCGATATTAATAAAAATATCAATATCGGTCTCAATATATCGAATTTTCTGTTTTTCGGCCTCCCTGAGCCCCTTGCATCCATCGAATTCCTCCAAACTTGCACAGGTCGTCCCTTCATCTAGTGGGCGGTCGTTCTACACTCCATCTTGAACGATATAGTACTACCATAATATCACGATTAATAATCGTCAACGAGAAATGATATTTCTTAGAACTAATTCTCCATTGCTGTAGGCCAACCAAGCTAAGCTATTCACATCGCAATCGGCTGGGAGCCAATTAAACATTCTTTCGTATCCACGAGCTCCCGAATAGTGCTCTAGTAAATTATTATTGTAAGCGATCGATTCGACATAGTTATGTCATTATGTCTTGAGATTAATTCCGAATTTCGCTTTTATTACTTCCTCCATTTACTATCTAAAGGGAGGAAGTAATAAGGGTGAAATCGGTTCACTAGCGAGTGCAATGCTTGCAGAAGTTTGAACCTCTATCTGAAGGGTCGTATCTTGTCAAGTTAGTCGAATTTCCATCTCTACAGGGGTCGTAGAGTTGCAGTGGAGCGTACGACTTCATGTTGTCTTGCACTTTATAAAAAAAGGAAAATTAATAATATATATAAGCGAGCTAACGAAGCGTCCGGGGCATGATATACAACGCAAAGGGATGCGGGGCAGGTGCGGTGGTGAGGCTGCTTACGCGCGCACGCGGTCCTGTCCGACAGAATAAAGAGCGCGCAGAAAACTCGGCCAGCATCCAACCGTTAAGCTCATGGATAATCCAGTCCAATATCATGGGTAAATATTTAGGTGAATTCTTATAGTCAGATAATAGCTACTGATCGAGCTAAGGTCGAGTCCTTTCGGGCACCCTCGAATCCGAATGCTAAATGGTCACTGAGTAATAGCCCAATCCGAGGTCCCCTCTTGGTGGTCCTTGCGCCTAGTTACTCAATGGAGCGTCTGCCAAAGCTACTAAGAGCTTGGCGGCCTCCCAACCCGGTAATAATAGTAATAGAGAGACGGCCTGAGCGGAGCCTCTCCCGGAAAACCTCGAGCTTAGTCCTGCTGCTCAGTGCTCGGTCATTTGAAGCCCGGTGGATCTGTAAAGGCCTACTAAAGGCGAACAGTGAACAATACAACCAACAAAAAACCGGACAGCACAGTTCGAGCGCGAGTTCAATAAAGAAAACATCAAAAAGAAAGAAAAACAGCAAGGAATTCTTATGAAACATTTATTATAAGTTAAGAGACAGTGTCCTTTTTTTTCCATTGTTTTAATTGTATTGTTTTTGAAGTAATAAAGGAAATTTGTCCGATTTATCGTATCATCTCATATCGCGTACCCGCCAGCTGCAGCTGTAGTGAATTATTCATACAGTCCACTCTGTTGAGTGATCGCAAACGTCTCAGATGAGGTTCTTTTGAGAACCTTTTAACTGTGGTAGTACCACAGAATGGTTCTCTATTGCACGAAGTCAACATATCACGATGTCGGGTCAGTGGCGTAATTAGGTGGACAAGGGCCCTGGTATATAGAGAAAAAAGCGGCCCTCCACTCCCTCTTTCTCTGTTGGCTGAGAGGCTGGCTGCTTGACCCTCAAACTTATAGATCGGGATAAGAAAGGAATACGGTGACTTGAACTTATTGCTACTAGAATAACACGTGTTGCGTTCGTTTTGCCGTGCACTTAGGCGAGTATGAAATATTTAGTTTTGCGTGTTATCATTGTCTATCTGTATAGTGTTGTCGGGCGGAACACCTGACGGGTTTGGGATACTTTCCTCCTCTTCGAGCGGGTCGAAGACGACGTTACGCGGATGTTTCCGAAAATCTGTTAATAATTTTCTGCGTTCACTATCAGTGGATTGGGGATTGCTGTGAATTTTGACAATCCCGAAGAATCGTATTGTTCTCTCTAAAATAATCGTGTTATGTTGGGAGACAGCAAATTCTGTGCAGATCAACGTTTATTTGGTACCGCCTTGCGGACATGCAAGCGGAGGACGTTTGGGTCGCACGCAAGCCAATAATAAACCAACAATAGAGGTGTTTATCTTAAGGGTAGTTTGCTTGCAGAATTCGTTAGATTAATGGAGTCGGCCTGACGAACGCACCTGTACTTAGCGTTCTCATTAGGCATATCAGGTTTAATACTCACAGTATTAAATTACATTCAGAGTCGAAAGTGTCCCAAGGTATAATTGACTTTCTTCTCCCAAGGCATCGGTTGTCCGTACAAGGTTATTTGCTCTACCTATTTCATTGGGCAAGCTCGAGTTAGTTACTAGTAGTAACCCCAGTTACTAGACTCCATAGAGTCAGTAACTCGTTCATGGGCCGGTGTATACGCTTCTACAACAAAATCCCAGTTAATGTGCAAAGCCTATCTATTAACAGGTTTAAGAAATTTATTAAAGAAAAACTTTTTAAAAGGGTTATTATAATATAAATGAATACATTAACGATAATAACCCCTGGGAATGAGATGATCACAACTAAGCAATTTCTAAAAAAAAAAAAATATACACTGTATAACTATGTATTTGTGGAGTAAAAAAAAATGACAAAAAAGAGGATACCTACGGAGTTTCTTTCGCCTGTTTCTTCTCTGTTAGAGGAACCTCATTATGAAACGGTGGTAGATTTAAAAAATGACTATCGATAACGGAAATGTATATTTCTTATTTCGATGAATAAATGATTTTAATTTGATTTGAATTTGAGTGAGAGATTAGAGGTGAATGTAACGCTAGCCCGAGTGAAATGTATGGCCACGGACTTTACGGGGTTAACGTCTATTTCCATTTGCGAAATAGGTCATCGAGACGGTTGGCGGTGCTTTGGAGGAAAATAGTTATTCGGCCAAGGTATTTGTCCGACTAGAACAATGCCGTCAGAAAAAGAAACGAGTCGACTTATACTTACTTACTTACTTATACAGCGTGTCGTTACCGTCGCGACAATAAATTAACATACATATAGGGGATAACATTTTTAAGTTGTATTAAACATTTAAATTCTTTAAACATCAATATTTACAGAGTTATTAAATTTTCCAAAGCAAAGAATTTTAGAACACCTCGCGTATAAAACGCGTAACGTAAAGTTCATTTGTAAAGGTCATAAAGCATATGAATGGGTTGAATGAATTTAAGAGACAAAACATACTGTTTGAAGGAGAGGCTTGTAATACGACGCTGTGGCGCGGGTTGTATAGGTGTTACAAATTTTGTTTCTTTTTTACTTAATTAGTTTGTTTGAAAAATATTTTTTTTTAATTATGGATTTTGTTTAAAGTTAATATTTTTTTATGATTATTAGCACGTAGCGTTAGACGTGTGTTAATTTATTGTCGCGATGGTAACGACACGCTGTATATAGGTCTTTAGAGATGTCGCTCGAACTAAAACGATAAGAGCTCAACTGCTTAATCTTATTACATCATAATAATAATAAACCGGTTATTTATCTTAGTCACTCACTTCTAAAGGATTATTTAAATTATGAGTACTTTTTGAAATAAAAAAGGCAAACTGTAAAATTATTTTCCAAAGCAAAGAATTTTAGAACACCTCGCGTATAAAACGCGTAACGTAAAGTTCATTTGTAAAGGTCATAAAGCATATGAATGGGTTGAATGAATTTAAGAGACAAAACATACTGTTAGAAGGAGAGGCTTGTAATACGACGCTGTGGCGCGGGTTGTATAGGTGTTACAAATTTTGTTTCTTTTTTACTTAATTAGTTTGTTTGAAAAATATTTTTTTTTAATTATGGATTTTGTTTAAAGTTAATATTTTTTTATGATTATTGGCACGTAGCGTTAGACGTGTGTTAATTTATTGTCGCGATGGTAACGACACGCTGTATATAGGTCTTTAGAGATGTCGCTCGAACTAAAACGATAAGAGCTCAACTGCTTAATCTTATTACATCATAATAATAATAAACCGGTTATTTATCTTAGTCACTCACTTCTAAAGGATTATTTAAATTATGAGTACTTTTTGAAATAAAAAAGGCAAACTGTAAAATTATTTGATTATAATTTTTCATATCGGAACTGAAACGGTTAGATATCAAACAATGTTACTAATCAAATAACCTTTCCATAATTTTAAACATATAATTTAGATGCAAAAATGAGTACAAAATCAATGATGTTATTAATGTAATAAAATTAACGAATGGAATGTAATTTTAAACTTAGCATGAATGGTATACAATAAATTCAGGTAAAGCTTTTAGATAATATATAATTGTTTCTTACTTCTAATGAAACATTTACATTGGATAAGTGAATTTAAACATTCACTTAAAGAATCACATTGTATTAAGGTTTCTCATATTTGTAAGGTGTTCATTTATTAATATTACACTGCAAATGGCGAAACTTTTAATCCACTTAGACAAGAATTAAAAAGAAAAAGTAATAAATAACATTGGAGTTGTAGAATTACTAATCACATCCTGCAATTTTCTTGATTGTTTTATACTCGGTATCAAAAATCACAAAACAATCTGTATTTGAATATATATAAGTGGTATTTATAATAAATATTGGTTAGGTACTAAGAAAACTTTGTTTTAATCAGAACGAGAAAAACACTATCAGTTGAGAATTTCATTTTTGTTGCTTTACCGTTATAGCACATATTTGGGGATTGTTTTTTTAGCAGACCCAATTTTTAAAATTCGTTCCATTGATGTATTCTTTTATGTTTTGTTTTCTTTTGTAATTTCCCCATTGACAAGTAAAAATCAGATTCTTCCGTTCATATTTAAAAGAAATGATCTATCTACATAACATTCTCATTATGTACACTATTAAACATTACTCTATTGGTGTCTATTCATATTTATTGCAATACTTTTTCAATTCACATTCTTCTTTTTCTCTATTTCTACATTACAATATCTACATTTACAATAATTTTATTAATTTAAATCTCATATTGATATTACTCTATAGTGTAGAGTCTGCACCATTCTTGGATGCCCCTTTAAATGCTTCAAAATGTAAATATTCCAACACTTAAAGATCAATTTCACGATACGCATTTCCTTGAATGACATGTGGTACCTCATTAGCACTACCTACAACTTATATTGTGGGTATGTCAAAAAATAATAACAATTTTTCTAGTTATATTGACCTAAAACAGAAGTTTAGTTTATTGGACTTTCAATTTTGATGATAGCAATATTATTTTCTACTTCCACTTATCTTTTTAAATATAATCTGGCAATATACTATGACTGTGTACGATTGATACAAACAGTTTAGATTGATATAAAGTGTTGATAACAATCATAAAGTAAGATCTAAAGCTGATAGAGGGATAACTATGTACTGGTATTAACATTTGCAGTCAGAATAATATAAAAAATATATCACAAAGCGAACATTTATACTTAACTTTATTTTTACTTAATGGTTTTATTGCATTTCAATTTGAAGAACACTTCTGAGACAGATGATAATTTACACATCAGTGAAAATGGCCAGCTAACACCACAAAATAATGAGTTCTTCACACTTTTCTATACAGTTTTCTTTTACAAAAACTTATTTTCCAATCGAATTTATTGGAATTGACTAAATCATATGCAAACATTAGGGTATGGGCGGTAGCTATATGAAGACTTGTTCTGCAGCTAGCGCATCGGCAAAGGGCTTGACAACACATCTTGTTGCAAAGTAGAAGATCAGCCCGAAGGTTATAGATATGGGGAGAGCTGGTAAGGCTTTCTTGAATATCGCTAAAAGTAGCAGCGTAAGACAGAGGCCCTGAAAAACATTACTTTCATATTTTGTATTCATAACACATTTTGTTAATAATATGGAGAAATAAAATATTGTACATAAATAATAAAAAATTTACAACATGTAATCTCAAATCTTAATGCGAGAAGGACATGAGCAAATTATAATAATAAAAAAAAAAAATTTAAAGCAAATATAAAGTTTGATACATTAATTAATAATAACTAATTGTTTTAATAAATCTAAATGTAACATTTCCTTTAACACTGTATACTGTTGTAGTTTAATGTGCTCTTATAGTACAAGAGAGACTCACAAAGAGAAAGAGAGAGAAAGGAACTGAAAAAAAGGTGTTTGAACACTTACAATGAGTATTGCTACGAAACAGGCAAGCGTCGTGTTCCAATCTCCGTAAGAACTCGCCTTGCCAACTAAGACACTGTAGAAAATGAAGTCACCCAAACCGAGTTTCACACCCTCTGGAATAAACGTATTATAATAAACTAAGAATTTCATTAAATTTCTTCCAATTATTATTTTTAAGAAATAATGTATTTTTGTATAATAATATATTTTGAGTATTGTGATTTATTGCATCCCTTTTTATGTCTATTTGTCATTAACTTCAAGTGTCTGTATTAACATTTAGCAACTGAATTTTTATTATGTTTCATTGAGACTTTTTCCTCGTATAGGTTTTATACGCGATACGCAAATGTTTATTTTTCACTACACTAAATTGACGAGGTAGCCAGTACGATTCACCCAATTACTGAATCAGTATACCAAGTGTTTTGCCTTCACACTTGTCGCCACTTGACACTATTGGGGAAAATTATATAAATTAATGTTCATCAGACTAACAATGTGCGATGGAAACTTTACAAGCATCCCGTGAAAACAAACCAGTGCAAATGCCAGGGCAATTTACCGATCCAAGCATCTTTACCTACCTCAGTTGTAAATGTTAGTAATTCGTATTATGTCTACTGGAGATTAAGTATTGATGTGATCTATTATCCTGTCTATCGCAAAATTGTTGCAAATCAGCCATGGGTTTAAAATTCGACATTGGCAATTTTTCTTCACATTCCTGTCCAAACCTTTAAGCCGAAGAAGTTACCTAAAAAGGTTGATGGAGATATCGTGAACATTACATTGGGCAACAATAATCAACTACCGTCAACGATAGGTGAATTCCCTCAACACTGTACTGGACAGCTATAAACACACGTTAGCAGCCCTGAAATGGTATGGGCATCGCCCGCTAACGGTCCGTTCACATCGACACTGCGAATCCGGCCAAGTTCGGTAGGGTTGCCAGCCCTGAAGCAGTATAGAGTTGTTCTCACTCTCGTCCTCGGCGTCGGTGGGTGGGGGAGGGGGCGGGCGGGGGCGGTCGAGCCGCGTGGTGTAGTGCGCGGGCGCGGTGCTGTCGACGCGCAGCCGCCGCGGGGAGCCGCCGCGCGCGCGCCACGCCGCGTCGAACCCCCCCTCCCCGTCGCCCTCCGTCCCGCCGCCCCCGCCTCGATTCTCGCCGCCGGCCGCTTGCGCCCCTAAAGCGTTCACAGTGCCGTTACAGCTTCGATTTCTATTCTTGTTTGCATTTTTATAATGATAAGATGCGTAATAATTTTATTTATACATTTCCACAGTCTCGCTGTGAATTGCAACGTAGTGTTAGTTTCGATTACGGTAGGAACTGAGAGAAATGTATTAGCAACCTGGATTCACATACAGCGTGTCGTTACCGTCGCGACAATAAATGAACACACGTCTAACGCTACTTACAAATAATCATAAAAAAATATTACCGTTAAGCAAAATCCATAATAAAAATAAAATATTTTTCAAACAAACTAATTAAGTAAAAAAGAAACAAAATTTGTAACATCCTAAACAACTCGCGCCACAGCGTCGCATTACAAGCCTCTCCTTCTAACAGTATGTTTTGTCTCCTTTAAATTCATTCAACCCATTCATATGCTTTGTGACCTTTACAAATGAACTTTACGTTACACTTTTATACGTAGGGGTGTTCTAAAATTGTTTGGTTTGGAAAATTTAATAACTCGGTAAATATTGATGTTTAAAGAATGTAAATGTTTAATACAATTTTAAAAAGTTATCCTCTATATGAGTGTTCATTTATTGTCGCGGTGGTAACGACACGCTGTATAGATTAAAAGTATACAATCTGTTAAAGTTGCATAGGAACTATTATTATTATTATTAGTAATTTTTTTTATGCGAAAAGTTGCCAAGCGAGCAGGCGGTTCAATACCGCCGCCCACGGACATCTGCTACACCCGAGGGTTGATGCGTTGACAACCTTTAAAAATTGGGCTCTGGCTACCTCAATCACCAGACTGACAGATACTTCCAATTCACGCCGGTCTGCCGTGAGGTCGTGGTACGTACCCGGACGAGCCTGCCCATTTGTGCAACAGTCGAGGCTGCTGTGTGGCCTTACCGCAGTTTAACACACAAGAGTGAAAACGTAATGTCAAAGATAATTTTGCAATGAAGTGAACATTACAAGTTCCTATCATACACCAGTTAAAAACAATTATAGTACCCCAACAAAGAACAAATCAAATAAAAATAGATGAGGTGATGTACACTAATAATTTCTGATAAACAAAGCACAATTGCTACAGACTGATTAGCGAAGGATGATTAGGACATAAAGCACATATAATATAGAGACTATTCATCATCACAACTTTACATTCTACATTTGAACATTAATAAACATCAATTTTGGCACACACAGAATCACAATCGAGGAGACTGTATTTTATACTAACTTCAATGGGACACCGGGATGACATTGGACATGGCACAGAAGGCACACACAGAAAATTGGGGTAGAATGTGCACAGACCATTCGGATTGAGGGGGCGTAGCTCACGCGGGCGCTGCTCACCTTGGACGGGGGCTCCAGAGCCGCCCGCACTGCCAACAGCCACGCCAGGAGCCGCCATACAATACATAACCGTAGCTGAAACATAACATATGCAAATAGAAATAAGTAAATGAGAAAACATTTCAGATTTATAAGCCACACAGCGAGAATCATAACAGTGACATTGAAAAGTTTAAACACATACCTAATAACATTTAAAATGTGAATTTTTTCATATACAGGGACGCTTTTCTAAGTGTATCCATTTTTTTTACTAAATTCTAGACATAATGTTATATAAAAATGATAAATATTTAAAATCACTCGTAATTAATTAAATATATTCATATAAACTTATCTCAAAAAGTGCGTGATTTATGGGCAACTCATTTTTTTTCGCGCGATCATTCATAACTAACACGCACACAAGTTCGTTTCAAAAGTATACGACTTTACGCATTGTCAACAGGTTCCGGTTTTTAGGGAATGGTATGGCAATTTTTTTGAAAAAAAAGTTTTTTTCTTTCAATAAACGATTATACTACCGAGTCTGAACCTCCTTTGTGAATTTGGGCATCTTTAGAAAAGCCACCCTGTAAATAAACAAAACAAAACAAAGTTTGGCACTGCAGGGTTCGAACCAGCATATTCTGGGTAACGCACCAGATACTTAACCAATTAAGCTAAGCGGCCAATGACCTCACGGCGCAAAGATATGTTGAGATTTATATCTATCTATGTTTTCCGAGAATATTATAAATTGTTAAATGAAACTATTTAATAAATATTTATCTTTGGAAATTTAAAATCAAATGAAAATGCGATAAATTCCGTAAAGTAGTTTGAATTTAACAATCTATCTTCGTTCTTTATTGCATTTTTAGCAATGTTCTTCTCCATCTAGTGTGTATACTTTACAGTATGAAACACATTTATAATTTGTGTGGAAGGGGTTGGGAAGTCTCAAAAAACACTTCATTCTAGACAGATCTATTGTAGTCATCCCTTCGAAAACATTGTCCCCCAGGGATAATTTATATACAAAAACTAGCTAACACGGCAAACATTGTTTTGCCATATAAATTATTTGTAGGGTAGAAAGAAATGTTTGAGGTGGACCACCCTTAACATTTAGGGGGATGAAAAATAGATGTTGTCCGATTCTCCACCCTGGCCGATATGCACACAAAATTTCACGAAAATCGGTCCAGCCTTTTCGGAGGAGTTCAATTACAAACACCGTGACACGAGAATTTTGTATATTAGATTTCACATGGAAAAATACCCATCCAAACAATTATCTGTGGGTCGCAAAAATAGTTGTCTCATATGGGAATCAAACCCATGACCCTCGGCGCCAAGCCAAATAACTTAACAACTACGTCAAGGAGTCATCATAAAACACCTTACAAAGGAGTAATAATTCACATTTTAAATTTCATCTTCCATGCAGAGACAAGCACTAAAATATTAATCTTAAACACAATAACATATTCAATTATAGGGTAAAGTAATTCTAAAATAATATATATTTACATGAATAAATTAAGGCTGGAAATATTGGTTCATTTCTTTCTTGGGCGGTTTCAACTAAAATTCTTAATGGTCCCTTTGGTGTTAATACTGCTACTAGATCTGAAATAATATGTCACAATGACATTAAAAAATAAAAAATATACTCCAGAAATATTTAGCTGCTTGTATTAGATAGAATCATGTTTTAATATCTTGGGCAGTAAGTTTTTCTATACAGACAACAAGGCGCTACAACCGCGACCTCAAATAAACATACATACTCTATATGTATGTTTATTAAAACATTAAAACATTTATTAAAACATACAACATTAACTTTTTTAAATTGTATGAACATTTACTTTCATTAAACATCAATATTTATTAAAGTTATTTAAATTAGTTATTTAATTTATAAATTTTTCAAACCAAATAATTTTAGAACACCTCTATATATAAAACTGTAAGGTATAGTTCGATTCTAAGTTCTAGTTCTAGTTCACAAAGCATATGAATTAAATAAATTAAAGAGATAAAAAAGTTACAAGTTTCTACTTCTGTTCCGAATAGATACCTTTAAAGCGACACTGTGGCAACAAATGAAAAAGTCTCTGAATGTATGAGTCAGTCAGCTGTAATTGTATATGATGTTACAAATTTTGTATCTTTATATTTAATTAGTTTGTTTGAAAATTACTTTTTCTAATTATGTATTTTTTATATTTAGCATTAGAAGTGCATAAATTTAAAGTTGCAGTTGTAACACCATGTTGTATAGAAATAACAGCATGCTTACCCCATATTGAAATTACTGCGAGAACAGCCCATGTTGTCCATTCTGGAAGGTATTTAATAAAAACTAGAGCCATCAAGGCAGCTATAAAGATAAGATAAGCTTGTTGCATTCGAAGAGGACCCTTCCAGTGGATCACTATCATGCCCATTACTCCAAAGTTCCACATTACAAAAACTAGGGTGATGTAATCCATGGGTATATTGTAGGCTCTTAAAGCTTCTCTGTAATAAAGGAGACCAGAGTTTTAAAAAAAAAGAAACCAACTATTCATTACAATTAAATAACAATTTTAGCAAGCAATTTAAGCTTAACCCTCAGCTTAAGTGATTTAAAGCTTCGCTTATACCTAAATCACTTGAGCTGTGAGTATATTCTAAGTATGTTCTGCTTATGCAAAGCCTTGATTTTTTTCTATTGCAGTTGACAATTCCTACACACGAGTGGTATAAAGATATATACATTTACTTTTATATGAAAAGGCAAGTAAGCAGACAATTAACCTGATATTAAGTGGTTACCCTATAGACATGTACAACATCTGACAGGCTGCAGATGCATTGACAACCTTTATAAAAAGTGGGCCGTAATTACCTCACTCACCAGACCAAATGCAGAAGTATTATACCTACACTTCATGCTGGTCTTCTATGAGATTACAGTACTTCTCGGGACGAGCCGGCCCATAAGTGCAACAGCAGAAGCTGTTGCAGGCACCATAAAATGTTTAAAGAAATAATATAAAGCTAGTCGGAAAACTCACTCTATATACAAATATGAGAATAAAAATAGCAACATCAGTGAGGAAAGAATGAGCCAGCCATGAATAATCTTGTAACATCTCTTCTTATACAACACAATAAGTAGTACAGTCATGAGAGCTATGACACTGAGCAGTATCATAGAGTTGGCAAGAGCATTCCATACTTTTGTAACTGCATATGGACTTTCCTCATGGAATGGTGTGTAGGCCCTGAAAATTAAATATAGAATACATTCTATCTTAGTGTATCACTGATACCCATTAAGATTTTTTGGGTTGTTTGATTATGATGTAACAGGGGATTTAATTATTTCATTCTATGCAATGTTATAAAGTTTAAAAAGTGTTATAAAGGACAGGTTGTAATTTAACATAATCTATTTTTTGGTATACTTATTATTATTTAAATTTACCATGAGTTAAAAAAATATTTCATATATTTCCTCAAATGTTATTAAATATTATATTGTTATATAAAACTAAATTATGAATTTTTTCACTACTCCTTTAGATTTACATGAAGGTTATACAGTTAATTTTAATATAATAATGAATATTAGTTAAATAACTATACTTACAAATATACATCTTTGACTGAATAGAAGTTTATTGAAGAAATTGTAGCAACAACAACAAGCATACAGAGTGTTACAGGCACAAAGAGTTTGATGACATGCCGCGCACCATACTTCAGCTCAAGTTCCTCAACCTGTGTCTCCATCTGCACTCCAGGATTACTGCTGCTTGGACCAGGGTCCCTGTTGTCACCTTGTCCACTCTCTTCCCTTCGTTCCACACTCTAAAACAATGTTTTGTAAAAAGAAACATTGATGGTAATTTTCAACATATTTGTTTCTTAAAAATGACTAGGCTTCTTATTAACCAAAGATAATTGATTGTAGTTTATGTTAAATTCTTTATGAAAATGATCATCTAGTTAAGTTTTATTAAAAATATAATTTTCAATGTGTTTTGAGAGTATATTTATAGTTCACTGGGTGCTAATAATAATAATATAATAAATATGTATATGTATTAATATATTTATATTATTAATAAGTATATATATAGTTATAATTATATTATATTATTAATAAGTAATATATGTATTATATACAATATTTATATCTATATGTTTATTTTTTATCTATAAACCCAACCAGACGACAAAGAAACAACCCCTCGATAATAAATACAAAATGTATGGGTTGACAAACAGAATGAATACATTGTACCTTGTTTCCTTTACTTCATATTGAGATAACATGTAAATATAACTGGTCAGTTCGGCAAGTTTAACACAATGACATATGTAGACTAATGTAACATGATAGGGATAAAGCATTAGACACATCATTGAATTAATGAAAAGAAGGGTAATGGCAAATACTTAAACTATTGTTTATATACTTATCCATCTCTATTATCAAGCGACACACATTTTTTCAGAGATACCTATATTGGGATGCAATTTATTGTCGTGCAAAGAAGTTGTTGCCACCTACACCATAATTCCGTTGACTTTCGGATTTAGACTTTCTCTTTCTCGCTATTCGTTCAGCTATTTCCCTGTCGGGACGCGCTTCTGCTATATGGCCATCCATGAGTGCTGTATGCTCTGTTGCTGACGCCTCTGAATCACTGCCGGTGTCACTCATTAATGAATAATTAAACTTTTCAACATCATGAGAAAGTATTTACAGCAAGGTCATTTATATAAAACAATTTCAATGAATAAACTAATTTTGTTAACATTTACTGATATGAAGGAAACTACAGAACAGAATCAGAAGTAGAAATATAATAATATATATTATTACTAGGGTAATATAAACGTCATTTGTAGAGAAGATAAGTCACAATAATTTACCACAGATTAACTATACAATTTATTATTTAATAAAAGGAACATCTCATTGTACAGTTTCGCTATTATATAAGTACACTTATCATCATCATCATATCAGCCGTAGGACGTCCACTGCTGAACATAGGCCTCCCCCATTGACTTCCACTTCGACCGGTCGTTAGCGGCCTGCATCCAACGCGTCCCTGCGATCTTGGCTAGGTCGTCCATCCACTTTATGGGAGGCCTTCCTACGCTGCGCTTGCCGTCACGTGGTTGCCATTCGAAAAACTTTTTGCCCCAACGGCCATCGGTTCTTCGAGCTATGTGCCCTGCCCACTGCCACTTCAGCCTGCTGACTCGCTCTGCTGTTTCGGTAACTATAGTTCTTCTACGGATCTCCTCATTTCTGATTCGATCTCGTAGAGAAACTCCAAGCATTACCCTTTCCGCGCTGTGCGACCGCGAGCTTGCTTATGAGGCCCATAGTGAGAGACCACGCCTCGGCACCGTACGACTTCGCTGGTAGCACGCACTGATTAAAGACTTTCGTCTTTAAGGACTGTGGTATTTTGGACGTAAAGACACTGTGCAATTTCCCGAACGCAACCCAGCCGAGCTGGATTCGTCGATTGATCTCCTTCTCGAAGTTGGATTTGCCTTGTTGGACCATTTGTCCCAGATAGACATAGCTATCAACAACTTCGAGTGGCAAGTCTCCAAACAATACATAGGTGGGCTTCACATGGACATTTGACATTACTTGTTTTTTCCATGTTCATTTTCAGACCCACCCGCTGGGAGATTCTCTTGAGGTCTTCGAGCATTGTGCTGAGCTCCTCCAAAGACTTTGCCATGACTACGATGTCATCGGCAAACCGAAGGTGAGTGATGTATTCGCCGTTGATATTGATGCTACATTCTTTCCAATCCAGAAGCTTGAAGGCGTCGTCCATTGCATTGGTAAAGAGTATCGTTACTCAATGTGGCATCTTTGAAGAGACTGCAGCACTGCCCAAGTCTCGGTCGAATCGAAGGCTTTCCCATAGTCCACAAACGCTAAGCATAGTGGCAAATTATACTCCTCAGTTTTCTGTATAATTTGTCGCAGCGTATGAATGTGGTCTATGGTACTATAGCCTTTACGGAAACCGGCTTGTTCGGGAGGCTGGAATTCATCAAATCTGTGTGCGAGCGTTGATCGTGTGATAGTGACTCAGACAGCTTTGTCAAAGGTCCGAAGGAGACTGACCTAGGGTAGGGACTCAGGCAAAACAAAGTAGCCGGTGCACAACTGCATGAAGACGTCGTATTATTCGTATATTTTACGAAAACAATTTAAGAATTTTAAGTTATTATAAGTATTCCAATATTTCCGAAAATAATCAATTCACGATAACCATTATTTTCCGAAAGTTAAAAGTTTTGTAATTATCTACGCAACGAACCAACGTATATGCAGGACTTCGCGTTCGCTGGTGAACGCTCTGGTCTGGCCTTTCTTTTTTTTCTTAAGGTGGGGTTACACCTCAACATGTTACACCTAGAACGTATATGGGCAGGACCATGAGAACATTTTTACATACTTCCGCAACCTTGCACGCTCTGGCCGCCTCAGTATCCCATTCTCGAGGAGCAACTCCCCTCTCCTTCAGGTAAGACACGCTCAAACATTCAGCGCGCCTTCCTACTGAGCCCCTTTTTCACTGCTAACGAACTCCCCCGAGTTCTCCAGAGGCCACGGGAACTAGGAGAGCCAGTGCTAATAAACAGCACCTAGCCGCCCCCCAAGGCTGGTGAAGCCTCAGACCAAGGCGCTGTCGATGGACAGAGTACCGATTTAAAGATCGCGATGCGTTAAGTATGTAGCACAGAGAAGTGAAAACCGGTTGAAAGTACGTCATTGTTTAGTGTCATTTACTAGATATTAATGCATATTTATGTGATGTGCCCGGTGAAACTGAGCTTTATTAGATGTAATACAAATATGCTGTTTGAACATTAATAATTTATCTAGCGTGACCTGTAGATATTTAGGCGTATTTTCCCAAGGAATGGGATATAATAATTTGATGGGAGAGTAATTTAATAGGGAGGGTAATGGGGACGATTTACAACTGTACGCTCAGGCAACCTGTGACTGCCTAACAGATGTATAACACTAACCTATGTAATAACATCAACCGAGACTTAGATGCTATTAAAAAGTGGTCTGATAGATTCGGATTGATTGTCAATCCTTCGAATTGTCAGGCCGCGCTTATTTGGAATTCTCGTATATTAAGTAAAATATATTTAAGCAATATTCCACCAATAACGTTCAACAACTGTACGATCCTTATAAGCAGAAGCGGATTAAACACTGAGAGCGTTGTAGGCAAGCATCTCATCGGCGCCCCTACATTAAAGCAGTAAAGTACGCATGGCATGTAAACCCCAAAATCATGAAGTTCCCTATATAATAATTTCTGGCTTTACACGCCAGTCGAGCTTTTTATTTTAAATTAAACCACGTGGAACGCTCTACTAGAAGACATCGAGCCATCGCACACCGACTACTGGCGGTTGGCCCGTAGTGTGAAAGCAGAGCCCCGTGAATCCCTACCACCGTTAGTAATAACTAATAGTGCTTCACTAGCTCTAGGTTACTCTGAAAATGCCGAATTCCTTATGACAACCTAGAGCAGCAATGTATAGCCCACCTAACGGAGTTGGATCGCGTAATCGAACTTAGGACTGCGCTACCACCGGTAGGTGTTCCTTTAACATCAGTGACCCCCGACTAGTTTCAAGATAATATTAAAAATCTAAAACCCAAACCTGCCCAGGCCCACATAAAATTCAAATCAAATCAAACAAAGTGTTAAAATCTCTCCCTGGGCCGATTTTCTGCATACTGGCGATCATTTCCTACACACTTCTCTCCAGCTGCTCCTTCTCGGTTGACTGGAAAGAAGTAAAATGCCCTGAAGGCACAAATTATTACAATTTAAGGCCTGCGTAAGACCTATTATGTCTACGCGTGCATGACCTACGCCCACACAAACCCTACCCGCTTTTACAAGTTGCAAATAGTACTAAATAAGTTGATCCGCCGCGCAACCAGTGCGCAGTGGTATAATCGCAACGACGACCTGCACAGTGGCTACAGATTCCCGACGATTCGCGAACATTTTAAAGATCTCACCAAATGGTTTTTCGACAGAGCTGAACATCATCCCAACCCTCTAGGATTTCCCCAACGTCGAAAAGCGACGCCCTCGCAACGTCCTCATCGACCCGGTCGAAGAATGGGACTCAAGTAAATCGGACCCATCGCACGGCCCGTAGGGGACATGCCATAATTAACGCACGCATGAGGAGACCGTAGCCACTTTTTTTTAAGTGGGAAAAATCCTTTGTGGATCCTCCGCCGGTTTGTGGATAGGCAGCAGGGGTATGTGGGAGTTACGGGGTACCCACTAAAAAACCCAAGTTGCGCCTGCGCTGTCGCTTTGCCGGGGACACGGGAACACGAAAACGCAATCTTCCGCGCACTCCGGCGCGACTGTGGCCTTCTCAGGCCTTCTCTCTTCGGGTGTTTAGCCGGTCCAGCCAAATAGTGCCGTGTCGGTGCAATAAACACGGCACCCCTCCGCAAGCCTCCGCCTCGGCAAGCCCTCCACGGGGCAGCAGTTAGCAGGGGAAGGTTGCGCACGTAGGCCAGCCTCCTGCACCCTGGTCTCCAGCGGCGGGCAAGAATAGCGGCCCGGCGAAAATTGGTGCCATAGGCGGTGGCAAGGGTGTCGTCAGCATAACACGTTACCTCGACACCCTTGAGGTAGGCGCCACGTAGCACCCATACATACCCTACGTTCCAAAAGAGTGGCCCTAGCACCGACCCTTTGGAATTCCACACGTCAACTGTGTTGTCCAGTGGCAGTCTTGGCACGGGTACACCACACGACGGTGCGACAAATAGGCTTCGATGATGCGGTGGAGGTAGGGAGGCACTCCATTGTACCGGAGTGCCTCCTTTATGTAAACCCAGGGCAAGGTGTTGAAGGCGTTAGCGATGTCGAGAGAGACCGCCAAGACGACCTCACCCTGGAAAATCGCCTCGTGTGCGAGGGACGTCACTCGCAGCACCGCGTGGGTGGTTGACCGACCCCTGCGGACCCAAACTGTCTGTCTGCCAGGTTCGGGCCGACGCACACCAAATGATCGACTATGCGGCCCGCGATCACTCTTTTGAAGAGTTTGCCCACATCGTCGAGAAGCACGATTGGCCGATAGGCAGACAGGGGTTCGCTGGACGCCCTTTCTTCCGGATGAGGACGAGTCTGCCTGTCTTCCACCTATGTGGGATAATGGCTTGAGCAAAATAGGCGCTAAACAACGTCCTCCAGGACCAGTACCCATGCTCGACCCGGGATGCCGTCGGGACACGAGGCAGGAGGAGGCCGTAGTCACTGAGGGAACCTTAAACCCGTTCTGGCTAGCCCACCGGTTCTGCGTTCCATTTAGCTTTAGTAGTCTAAGGAATGAAAGCATAAGTTATCCAAAAAAAAAGCTCGCGTCAAAGACAAAAAAGTTGAAAGTCATGTCACTCTCCACTCACTTGTTCGCGCCTGACCGCTTAGCTTCCGCCCCAGCATCGCACCCTCGTCGCCGCAATTTTAGAAACAGGGGCGTCCGATTCCGATACTCACAAGTCGCGATCGACTTGCCGTATCTTTCCTTCTTCAATCAGAAATCATGTACCATCGATAAGATTGTTTGAAGGCGCAAGTTTTTAGTCAGTCCTATCCGTTAAGTTTATCTTTTGTTATA